TATGTATGTATATATATGTGAAGCGGTCTTACAGTAGAATCTGCGAAAATGACAAGTTGTATCGAATTTCTGCTGAAGAATATCACTGGTGAGGTTCCTGCTCTGCCCAAGAACTGGTGACACCTTCATCCATACGAATGGGCAGGGGCTTTGCAGTTCATCAGGCCTCCTCCGTCTCTCCCCCTGTAGTCCTTACCTGGCCTTCAATAAATCATGGTCATATCGCAAGAGCGTAATTCAGTGAAACTCTCTCGATTTAACGGCTTGTTGTCATGTACCAGACCACCACGACACAGGAGATCGTTGGTATCAATCAATAATTTTAGGAATGTTCAGGTTCACAGAGGGAATTCGTGGTTGATCTACATTTTTTTAACAAACTGGAACTTAACCAAAGATAAGTACCTCATTACAGTTGACCTGAAGAAAAAAAATCAGTCTAGTGTATGCTTTCAAGTCGCCCTCTCTGCTGAAATATCATTCACCATTTCCGAAAGTATGGGGAAGAGCTTGCTTCCATTTGTCTCCAATAGCCTGTCTGGTGAAATATAGCTTTGCACCAGTTGACTGATAAAGGGCCGGTCACATTAATCTATTCTGTCCAGGGATCCCTTTAGAGTCGGATGCTTCCCTAGCTATAAACGGATCCGAAATTAAAATCCCTCCGCATCGTGAAAACGGTATGTCGGTATTTCATCTCTGCCTAGATCTGAAGGATATTGCCGAAACAAAATCTATGATATAATTACTGGTAAACTCATTACTTAGAAAATAATTATAACTGATAAAACAAAATTAATTATCATATACAAGGATATATTGCATCGAATAATGGTGCAAAAAAAAACGTTCATTTGACTAACAAACATAAACATCAACCACTCCGACACGACAAAAACTCTCTTCAAAAGTTGTTCACGCCTTGTTGGATAAAGTGAGAGCCAAAGAGCCGTTGTGGAACATCAGTCATAAGGATTATAAAAACGGGAAGTTGAAAAGAACATTAATGGACGAATTAAGCAATGAACTCCGTCATGAAGTAGCCCGTAAAAGCATTCTCGCCATTGTTTATGAACGTTGAACTGAGACGATTGTTCACTCCGAAAGAACAATGAATGCAGTGTGGTCAATCCCTCTCTGTAGCTGACCAGACTTAGGCGATCCTATCTGGGGATCCCAGAACAGAATAGACTAGGGCGACCTTCGCTTAAGTACAGGCGAATGTCCCACTATAAGTCGCGTGGGTGCGCTGCTGGGAATGCGCGAGCTGCCTTCCAGTGCTGATAGCCATTTAATGACATGATGAATACTACATATTCTGGATATACCAAGAATATCATTACTGCATTCATTTAATGAATACATTTATAGTCGTGATAATAATGGCGATGAAAATGATAAATATGAAAAAGAATGAAGAAAAGGATGATATGAAGATAAAAATTCTATTGATGATTTTGATAGCACTTTTAGTGAGACAGTGGGAATCTGAGTAAAAGTATAAGTCAGGTTTAGAAAGATCTAATAATTACAACGTAATAATTTCAATAAAAAAGATAATAATACTTACAATACTAATGAACGTAATAATTCACAACGGTGCTATTGATGATGATAAATAGATATGATATGGTACTTAATAATTATTAATGCACTTACGATGACGATTATTATTCCTGTTATCATTATCATTATCATCTTTATCATTTTTATCATAATTATTGCTTTTCTTGATCTCGTTGTTGTTATAGTTATTATCATTATCATTATTTGTTATTTTGTTGTTATTCCTATTATTGTTGTCATCATTATTATTACTGGTATCATTATTATTATCACTATTATTGCAACAATCCTTATTATGGTTCTTATTATTGTGATAACAATTATCATTATCATCAGTAGTAATAAATGTAACAGTAGTAGTACCATTAATATAATCATTATCATTTTTATTACCTCCGGCAAGGAGGTTATGTTTTTGACGGCGTTGGTTTGTTGGTTTGTTTGTTTGTTAGAGGCGTAGCTCAAAAAATGCTGACCGGATTTCATCGAAATTTTGGGGACAAGTCAGAAAGGGACTAACTTAGAACTGATTAAATTTTGGTGACATTCCGAATTACCGTCTGGACGCAGCAGCGGTGTAAGTACATTATATACGCACCTTGGCGGAGGTCTGCACTCTCTGAGTGCTTTTCTAGCTATCATTGTTATCATTACTATCATTATCATTATCAATATTATAGTTACTATTATCATTCTTATAATCTTTAGTATTATTCTAATTGTTATGATAATAATAGTAATAATAATGATAATAATAATAACAATGATAAAATGATAACAATAATAATAATAATAATGATAATAATGATAACAATGATAATAAAAGTCGTATTCATAATCACACTACACTACAAAAATGATAATAACGATAATGATGCTTTTGATGATAATGTTGATAATAATAATAATGATGATAATAATAATGATAATAATAATAATAACAATAACAATAATGACAACATAGTAGTAGTCTTAGGTAGTCCGTCGATTTCGATGATGACGTCAACACTATAGTACAACTCATCGGTTATGGACTCAGAGATGGCTGTGGAGTTCTATGCGAGAACGACAGACTCATTCACAGTTGGGGCATGGAAATTGTCTTGGACCAGCAGCCAAGGCTGCAGCCTTTCTTTTGTCCAGAAGTTCGAGCTGATGTTCAGTTCTACTCATTTCAAATGAGTCTTTGGCAAGACCAATCAGGGATCTCCACTTCACTCGATCCTGCACTGCCTCTTCAAGATGTTCGGGGGCTAGGCCTGCATATGACAGGTGGACTTTCACACAGTCCTTGTATCTCTTTCTGGGTCTCCCATGTTTTCTCCTGCCTTGGGCCATGACTTGTGAATTTGACATCCAAGCTTGACTGAAAGTGGTTATGGTTCTCCATGTCCTTGAGCTTGTCGACATCGAAGGCGGGTTTGGTGCTTTTTGCTTTCTTGCGCTGGGTGGGGACTATGTGAAGAGCTAGTATTGATCTGACCAGTCGATGATCTATCCAGCACTCAGCACCACATATTGCTCGAGTGCTCTTGAAATCAGATGTGTCCCGTGAGCGGGTAACTGCATAGTCAATTAGATGCCACTGCTTTGAACGAGGATGCATCCATGTTGTCTTGTATTTGTCAGCCTGCCTGAACAGTGTGTTGGTGATGTTCAGGTTATTTTCAGCACAGAGACTCAAAAGGAGAAGTCCATTTGAGTTCATCTTGCTTACACCATGTCTCCCTAACACTCCTTCCCAGTTCCTGTAGTCATGCCTCACTCCAGCATTAAAGTCTCCAAAAAGGAGAAGCTTATCATCAGCTGGAGTGGTTTTCACCATGTGGTCAAGGTCTGCATAGAAGCTCTCCTTGGCCTCATTGCTGCTTGTCAAAGTAGAAGATTGGGCAGTTGTTGGAGTAAAGTAGATCTTATGGCAAGACCAACCCCCCTGTCCTCGTCTTGTGCTCTGCCTTTCCAAAACAAGTTGTAGCCTCCTATTACTTCTGCTATACTGCCTTCATCTGCCAGTCTGGTTTCACTTAGTGCAGCAATGTCAATATGGTATCGTGCCAGTTCTCTTGAAACGAGTGCTGCCCGTCTTTCGGCTCTTGCTGATCTTGCATTGTCCATGAGAGTTCTGATAATCCATACACTGATAATCATCTTTCTTTTCTTGTTTGATCAACCGCAATGAGGGTAAACTGCCAGCCGCGGCTTGCTGGCCAGTCAGGGGTGGGACAAGCTTTGTCTAAGGCACCTTTTCTAGCCTCCTCCCTCATACGAGGGTGAGCAGTGCTATCCCTAAACAGGGCTGCTCAGTCATCCTGGGTTGACGCCGGACTTCTCTGTTGTCCCAGTTCGGAGAGAGAACGACCATTATCCACAGGCCACCTATGTGCAGGTTTGGGACTACGACTTCCAGTGGTTACCGCCACCTGTCGCTGCGCCCATCGCCGCAGGACTTGGAGAAAGATGTTGGGGATTGGTTGAGTTGCGCATAGGATGATACCTGTGCGGGAAGGGATTATAGTGGAAAAGCCGTTGCACAGGGACAGTATTCGTGGGCCTCGTGCTCACGCCTGTCGCCCAATAGTAGTAGTACTAGTAAGGAAAAGGAAAATAATAATGATAATAATAATAATCATTATTATTATTATTATCATTATTACCATTATCATCATCATCATCATCATCATCATCATCATCATCATCATCATCATCATCATCATCATCATCATCATCATCATCATCATCACCATCACCATCATCATAATAACAATGATAATAATGATAATGATAATAATAATAATAATGATGATAATAATAATGATAATCATAATGTTATCAACAGTGATGATGATGATAACAATAGTAATAATAGTAGTAAATCATCAACATAATAATAATAATAATGATAATCATAATGTTATCAACAGTGATGATGATGATAACAATAGTAATAATAGTAGTAAATCATCAACATAATGATGATAATAATAATGATAATAATAATAATAACAATAACAATAATGACAACATAGTAGTAGTCTTAGGTAGTCCGTCGATTTCGATGATGACGTCAACACTATAGTACAACTCATCGGTTATGGACTCAGAGATGGCTGTGGAGTTCTATGCGAGAACGACAGACTCATTCACAGTTGGGGCATGGAAATTGTCTTGGACCAGCAGCCAAGGCTGCAGCCTTTCTTTTGTCCAGAAGTTCGAGCTGATGTTCAGTTCTACTCATTTCAAATGAGTCTTTGGCAAGACCAATCAGGGATCTCCACTTCACTCGATCCTGCACTGCCTCTTCAAGATGTTCGGGGGCTAGGCCTGCATATGACAGGTGGACTTTCACACAGTCCTTGTATCTCTTTCTGGGTCTCCCATGTTTTCTCCTGCCTTGGGCCATGGCTCTATAAAGGATTTGCCTCGGGATGCGGTTCTCATTCATGCGGATGATGTGGCCGGACCAACGAAGTTGGCTCTTGAGGATCATAGCCTCGATGCTGGTAGAGTTGGCTGAGACTCTTTGAGATTGTTTGAGACTCTGTCCTACCACGAATGCCTAGAATTGACTTGAGGCCTTTGATGTGGATTTTTTCTAGTAGTTTCAGGTGGTGCCTATACAGAGTCCAGGTCTCACATCCATAAAGGAGGCTGGTGAGGACAATGGTTATGTAAATCTGGAGCTTAGTCGAGAGCTTGATACTGTGCTGGGAGAGGATATGGATTTTGAGTGGTCCAAGGGCTTGACTGGCCTTGCAGATTCTGGAGTTGATCTTCTTATCAAGAGAGCCATCGTTGTCTACGACACTGCCAAGATATTTGAAGTCCTCCACAGTCTTCAGCTGGGTGCCTTCGATGGTGATGTTTGGAGGTGTTGCTGTAGTTGATTGGTGCAGGACCTCTGTTTTTGGCAAGCTTATTGTGACGCCCAAGAGCCGTGCCGCTTGTGAAAACTGATCCACAAGGAACTGTAGGTCTTCCTCTGTGTGAGCCATCAGGGCACAGTCATCAGCAAACAAGGCCTCAACTAGTAAACTCTCTCTTGTTTTGGTCTTGGCATTCAGACGCCTGAAAATAAACAGTGAGCCGTCAAGACGGTACTTTGATGATTTTGGTGTCATGTTTCAGCACCGATGAGAAAAACAGGTTGAAGAGGACTGGTGTCAATACACAGCCCTGCTTCAAACCGTTTGTGATATTGAAGGATATTGAAGAATATTCTCCACTAGACAGAACCGTGCCGGTCATACCGTCGTGGAAGAGGCTGATCATGTTGGTGAATTTCCTTGGGCAACCTAGTCTAGCTAGGATCACCCAGAGGGCTTCTCTGTTAACCGTATCAAAGGCCTTGGTAAGGTCAATGAACACAGCGTAGAAGTCCAGGTTCTGCTTGATACATTTCTCGTGTACTTGCCGGACGGTGAATACCATGTCTGTGGTGCTGCGGTTTGGACGGAAACCACACTGAGTTTCGGGCAAGGTGTTTTCGGATATCTGTGTGATGAGTTGGTTGAGGATCACCCTGGCTAGGATTCTTCCACCAATTGACAGGAGAAAGATGCCGCGATAATTACCACATTCCATTTTGCTGCCTTTGCTTTTGTACAGAGGCACAATGGTGGCATCCCTGAATTCATTTGGCAGGTCCTCCTGATCCCAGGTGTCATCAATAAGGCTATGGAAGTCTTGAATTGATACAGGGCTCGCTGCTTTTTATAGTTCTGTGGATATTCCATCCATCCCAGATGCCTTTCCAGTGCTAGTTTGGTTGATGGCTTTCTCTACCTCTTCCAGCGATGGAGGAAAGTCAAGTTCATCGATGATTGGGCTTTGGGGATCGAGTTGAGTGCATCAGGGTCAACATTGGAGGGTCTGTTCAGCAGGTTGTCAAAGTGCTGTCTCCATCTGTCATTGATGGCTTTCTTCTCTTTGAGAATGGTTGTTCCATCTACTGCTAGCAAGGGATTCAGAGTTGGTTTGACTGGCCCGTAGACTGCTTTCAAGCTTGAAAAGAGCTGGCGAGAGTTCTTGGAGTCTGCGAATCCTTAAACTTCTATTGCCTTATTTGACCACCACTCATTCTCCATCTCATGAAAAGCAGCTTGAGTTTTACTCTGCAGGTGCTTGAAGTGTTTACGTCTGGATTCAGATGTGATGTCATTTTGCCATGCCAGGAAAGCTTTCCTTTTTTTATTCAGGAGCTGTCCAACCATCTGATCATTTTCATCAAACCAGTCTTTGTGTACTTTCTTTTTCTGGCCAATGGTGCTCTTTGCTGTTTCTATGACAAGGAGCTTAAATTGGTCCCACTTTTCTGTGATAGTTCCAGTCAGGGGGCCATGACTTGTGAATTTGACATCCAAGCTTGACTGAAAGTGGTTATGGTTCTCCATGTCCTTGAGCTTGTCGACATCGAAGGCGGGTTTGGTGCTTTTTGCTTTCTTGCGCTGGGTGGGGACTATGTGAAGAGCTAGTATTGATCTGACCAGTCGATGATCTATCCAGCACTCAGCACCACATATTGCTCGAGTGGTCTTGAAATCAGATGTGTCCCGTGAGCGGGTAACTGCATAGTCAATTAGATGCCACTGCTTTGAACGAGGATGCATCCATGTTGTCTTGTATTTGTCAGCCTGCCTGAACAGTGTGTTGGTGATGTTCAGGTTATTTTCAGCACAGAGACTCAAAAGGAGAAGTCCATTTGAGTTCATCTTGCTTACACCATGTCTCCCTAACACTCCTTCCCAGTTCCTGTAGTCATGCCTCACTCTAGCATTAAAGTCTCCAAAAAGGAGAAGCTTATCATCAGCTGGAGTGGTTTTCACCATGTGGTCAAGGTCTGCATAGAAGCTCTCCTTGGCCTCATTGCTGCTTGTCAAAGTAGAAGATTGGGCAGTTGTTGGAGTAAAGTAGATCTTATGGCAAGACCAACCCCCC